CTAGTGGTTACGAATCGGGCTGTGAACCGCAAGGTCAGCAGTTCGAAACTACCAGCTGTTCCGCGGGAGAAACATGAGGCTTTCTGCTCCCGTAAAGATTTACAGCCTTGAAAACCCTGTACATGGTCGCTATGAGTCGGAACCCACATAACAACAAATATATATACATATACACGTAGAACTGGACTGCTAACCAAAAGGCCAGCAGTTCAAACCCACCAGCTGCTGCTGGGAAACCATACACAGGCTCGCCATGATTCGGAACCCACTCGCCGGCACACCTCCACCACCATATAGGTCACGTCACGCACAGCCCTCAAGTCTGTTCCGACTCACAGCGACCCTGGACAGGGTTTCCGAGGCCAACAATCGTTACGGATGCAGGAAGCTTCATCTTTCTTCCGCGGAGCAGCTGGTGGGTTTGGACTGCTGCCCTTGCAGTTAGCAGTCCTGTGCTTATCCCACAGCGCCCCCAGAGCCCGTTATCAGTATGTGTATAGGAGGAGCCCGGCTGGAGCATTGGTTAAACACTCGGCTGCTAACAGAAACCACAAGGGGGCGCTCTAGACTGGACCACAGAGTCAGTCCCTGTGAGTCCGGACACACTCGAGGGCAGCCAGTGGAGAAGGTCTGATGGGTCCTTGTTTGGGCTCCTTGTCCTAACTGTCCCGCTGGCCCCCGGCTGCCCGGCACCCCCAGCCTCGGCTCACCACGCAGCTTCTCCAGGGGGTCGTAGCAGTTCTCCTCGACACTAGCGAAGTAGCGAGCGCAATCCAGAAAGTAGGGCCAGGCCATGTCGATGGCGTCGAAAGCAGGCAGGCAGGTCTCCCGGAGGTCCTCGCAGACATGCCGGCAGGCCCTGCGCACCCGGCCACCCTCGCACCGAGGGGCCAGCACGGCGCAGCCCAGCAGCCGCAGGTCCGGGTTGCACTGGCCTTCCAGCAGGTGGGGTAGGACACTGAGCAGGATATACTCGGAGCTGGCCTCCACCGCGTCCCTCGAGCGATGGTCCAGCAGGGTGGGGAAGGTGGTCTGGTTGTAGGTGGTGTCGCTGCAGGTATGCAGCTGCAGGTCCACACAGGTGGCTGGAGGGAGGGAAGTCACCGGTCATCCCTCCCACAGGAAACCATGCGGTCCCACATCGGACACTTACTGAGGGCCCCGCTCCATCCAGCTGACCCCACGCAGCTAGAAGGAGGGGTGCTCACACAGGACAGGGGAGCCAGGGAGTTCAAGGGAGCAAAGAGAGTGCCCACCATGGCAGGGTCTGGCTCATCCTTGAGTCTCAGTTTCCTCATCTGCAAAATGGGAATCACACAGTCAGCCTAACTGACGGGTCAGTGAAGAGAGTTCCTGGGAGGCACCAACGGTGAGGTGTTGGAGTCCATCCAGAGGTCCCTCAGAAGAAAGGCCTGGCAATCTAATTCTGAAATACTAGCCACTGAAAATCCCTACGGTGTTCTGATCTGGCACACATAGAGTCTCCATGAGTCAAAGTCGACATGATGGCAAAGATGACAGTTTGAGGACTAAGGTGTGCCTGACCAAGTCATGCATGTGAAAGCTGGACAGTGAATAAGGAAGACTGTAGACGAATTGATGCCTTTGAGTTATGGTGTTGGAGGAGAATATTGAAAGTGCCATGGGCTGCCAAAAGAATCAATAGATCTGTGTTGGAAGAAGTGCAGCCAGAGTGCTCCTTGGAGGCCAGGATGGCCAAACTGCGTCTCTCATACTTTGGACATATTGTTAGGAGGGACCAATCGCTGGAGAAGGATATCATGTTTGGTAAGGTGGAGGGTCCGAGAAAAAGAGGAAGACCCCCAGCAAAATGGATTGGCCAAGTGGCAGCATCAATGGACTCAAGTGTGGCAATGATTGTGAGGTTGGCCCAGGACCAGGCAGTGTTTCATTCTGTTGTGCACAGGGTCACTATGAGTCACTGCTGTCTCGATGGCACCTAACAACAACAACAACTGATCTCGGGGGGTATGGGGACAGTGTGAAAACGATATGGGGTCTAAAGTCTCTGTAGTCTGGAATGACCTTTTCAATGTGACCATTAGGAAATGTGAAATGATTCATGTGGGTTCATACTGGTTTTGTTCTGAAGTGTCGAGTCGACTCCAACTCTTAGTGACCCCGTATAGGGTTTCCAAGGAGCCGCTGATGGGTTTGAACCACTCACCTTGTGGTTAGCAGTTCGTCATCGACTTACGACTATGGCAAGTCTTGGCCACAAGGTGGCGCTGTGGCCAGCATTTCTCCAATTGCAGACTTGTCTTGGACCCCTACTAACGCCAGTGTGCGGAGTCCTGGTGTGGCGCTGTAGGATAAGCACTTGACCCCAATTACTGGTTTGAACCACAAGATCGACAGTTCGAACTCACCAGTTGATCCTCAGAACCCCTATACAGGGTCACTAACAGTAGGAACCAACTTGACAGCACTTAACAATAACAACCCTATCAGGAACTCCTAGTGTGGTACTGTAGGAAAAGCACTCGTCTATGAACTAGAAGGTTGGTGGTTCAAACCCACCAGCTGCTTCTTGGAAACCCTGTACAGGGTCAGAATCAACTCAACAGCACTTGACAACAACAACCCCTAGCTGGTGTAGCACCGTAGGATAAAGCACAGTTTCAACTGCAAAGTCAACAGTTTCAAACTCACCAGCTGCTCCCTGGTCTGGCGCTGCAGGATAAAGCTCTAGATCACAAGGTCATTTTGAACTGCAAGATCCTCAGAAACCCTATACAGGGTCACTGTAGATCAAGGACCCCTGGTGTGGTGCTGTAAGATCAGCACTGGACTGTGAATCACAAGATGGGCAGTTCAAGCCCACCATCTGCTCCTCAGAAACCCTATACAGGCTCACTATGACTTGGAACCGACTCAGTGGCACTTAACAACAACCCCCATTAAGGGAGTCCTGGTGTGGCACTGTAGGGTAAGCAGTGGACTTACGGTAGCCGAAAGGTCAGTGGTTCAAATCCACCGCTGCTCCTTGGAAACCCTATACAGGGTCACTCTGAATTGGAGCTGACCCGATAGCACTTAACAACAACAACCCTATTAAGGAATCCCCGTGTGTCACTATAGAATAGGTGGTGGTGGTTGTTAACTGCCGTTGAGTGAGTTCCAACTTGGAGTGACCCAGTATAGGATTTCCACAGAGCAGCCGGTGAGCTTGAACCACTGACTTTGCAGTGCAAATCAATTTTGCAGTTTAGCGCATGAACCCGCATACAGTGCCAAGCCAAGACTGTTACCCCACCAGCTACTCCTTGGAAACCCTATACAGAGTTGACGGCACTTAACAACAAAACGTCCATTAAAGGACTCCTGGTGTGGCACTGCCGGGTCAGCACTGGACTGTGAACCACAAGGTCAGTGGTTCAAACTACTCCTTGGAAACCCTGTACAGGGTCACTATGCGTCGGGCTGACTCAATGGCACTTAGCAACAATAATGCTATTAAGCCAATCATAGTGTTCCCCTGAGCAAGTTCAGAGGTTTCCCTGTCATTAGGTGTTGCTGAGTCCATTCTGTGACCCCACATGCTACGGAAGGAAACACTGCACGGACCTGCACCATCCTCACAATCATTGCCATGTTTGATCCCACTGCTACAGCCACGGCATCAATCCTTCTCACTGGGGTCTTCCTCTTTTTTACTGACCCTTAACCCTCCTCTAATTGATGAGAGGCTTGAATGAGGTTAGGAAGTCAGACCACCTGCCTGACAGAGAAGAAATGGTCCCTTGTTTGAACTTAACTTCAACCAAGAAACTGAGACTGTCCATGCAGGGCAGGCCTGGACAGTTGGCTGTGGGAGGGGAGAGGAAGGTGCTCCTACCAAGGGTAATGGAGAAACTTGAGAACATTGATGGGGATGGGTCAGCAACATGAGTATATTTAATGCCACTGAACAGCATATAAGAAAGGAGTGGTGGAAAGGACCAATGTTTTCTCACCTGTATCTACCTATAAAGATATTAATAAAAGAAAATAGCTAGCCAGGAAAGCATCTAACTACAAATGATCAAATTTAAACCACCCTAAGACCAACAGATCTGTGTTGGAAGAAGTGCAGCCAGAGTGCTCCTTAGAGGCCAAGATGGCCGAACTTCGTCTCTCATACTTCAGACATATTGTCAGGAAGGACCAGTCACTGGAGAAGGATATCATGTTTGGTAAGGTGGAGAGGGTCAGAGGAAAAAAGGAAGACCCCCAGCGAGATGGATTGGCCAAGTGGCAGCATCAATGGGCTCAAGTGTGGCAACAGTAGTGAGGTTGGTGCAGAACTGGGCAGTGTTTTGTTCTGCTGTGCATAAGGTTGCTATGGGTCAGTACCGACTCGATGGCTCCTAACAACAACAACAACAGATCACAGCAAGGAGTTCTGGTGGTACAGGGAGTTAAGCACTGAGCTCTAAGCCATTGGAAACGTTGGTGGTTCGAGTCCACCAACTGTTCTGCATGAGAAAGATGAAGCAGTCTGTTTCTGAGGAGGTGGTGATGTGCCGTCATGCTAGTTCTGACTCAGAGCGACCCTGTACAGGCTTTCTGAGGCTGTAAATCTTTATGGGAGCAGAATGCCGCATCCCATGTCTTTTGTTTCTTTCATCTTTGCTTGCTCTCTTCTTCGTTTTATGTTGCTGATCATAGAAGGAAAATCATGGGGTAGACCACAGACAACAGCCTGAGACACCTGTTGTTCAAGCTTGCCTCACAGACCCATGAGTGCACTTTTCACAGCACCAGCAGCATCTACTTGGACCAATTTTGCTGTGCGTCACCTATAACACCAACTAGATAAGGCTCTCCTTCTGTCTTTATTTTTTGTCCTGAGAGCTTGGTTTTGATCCAACAGAGCTTTCTTTTTGGTTCTCCCCGTCAGGGGACAAAGATTGTTTGGTATGCATTTGGAGGGACCAACCCTCAGGTTGGGGGTCCCAGGACAGAATACCCATAAATATTACATTCCTACAGACTGATGTCAGCCCTCATGGGGTTCTCTAAGTATCAGTCCTCCCCACACTCAGGACGGCTACTTCTTGTATGTGGTTTCTCACTCCTAAACCTTGCCTTCATCTTCTTAAAAAGGCATCACTTTGCCAAGGATGATGTGGCTGCCAGTGGCCACAACGGGAAAATTGTTCATTTGAAAAGTGCACAGAAAAAAAGGGGATCACACACTCCATTCAAATAAAAAGGGGGGGGGAGGCTGATGCTTGACCCAAGCCATGCATTTTCAATCACCTCATATGCATGCAAAAGCTGGAAAATGAATAAAGAAGATTGAAGAGTTGATGCCTTTGAATTATGGTGCTAGCAAAGAGTATTGGCTATACCGTGGGCCGCCAGAATAAATAAGTCTGTATTGAACGAACTATAGTCAGAATGCTCCTTCATCTCATATTCTTTGGAGATGTTATCAGGAGAGACCAGACCCAGGAGAAGGACCTGAAGCTTGGAAAAGTAGATGATCGGCAAGAAAAAGGAAGACTGGTTAAAATGGACTAACACCACCGTGGCAGCAACTCACAAACAGCAACAATTGTGAGGTTGGCACAGGACCGGGCGGTGTGTTATTCTGTTGTGTACAGGGTCGCTATGAGTCAGAACCTACTTGACAGCACTTAATAACAACTAAGATCAAACTAGCATTTCAAAACAAGTTCGCCATTTCAAAAGAGAAAAGTGCACATTTTAGTTTTGCATAAGTATTTGATACTATAGCTGTTTTATCAATCTGGTAAATAAACCCACCAATCTTAGCTAAATGTTACCACAACAAAACTCCTTTCCCACAAGCCCTCTACAACTTTCCTATCCATTTAGGTTTTATCTTACACGGTCCTCTTTTCCATTCTGAGGCAATGAGTCATTTTACTTCAAATGCAAATTACAGTCCTTTTCTGTAACAAAACACATCCTGTATACCTAGCCTAAGTCTCCTTCTTCTGCAGCAAAGGTGAATACACATATGGAAATATGCTGTCAAACCTCCATATATTTGTGGGTTATTCTCACTGTCCCCCTCACACTCCTTCAGCCTGAGCATCTATGTATGGATCTACAGACTAGTGGTGGGGAACCTTTGTAACCACCACAATTTATAACATCATTCATGGGCCATAAACAATCATCAGTTTAAGAGTTCACCTGCTATATTTGGTCAAACATTTAATTAACTTGATGGCACCTAACAACAGGAACAATAACATAATGACTCGGCGTCCTGGTGTGGCGCTGTGGGTGTGGGGAAAAAAAATTATAATCCTGTTTATTATATTCGGGTAACTTTTATATTTCCTGAAGTAAAGACTTTATGATCTCTCTTTTTCTTTGGTTACTTCCTCAAGTGAGTAAAGAATTTATGGTCACTTTCTTTTTCTTTAAACTACTTCCTGGAGCAAAGACTATGACCCCTCTCTTCTTTTCCTAAAGTAGGAATGTGCGCCTTAAAATTTTGAACTAGCCAACCGAGTAAGGGAATAGATTGTGTGGTCAAAACCTTAGCCAATAGGGTGAGACACAGCCTTGAGACTCGCGTCAGGGATTAAAAACCCGAGTGGACTGCCCACTGGGTGTGCCCGCTGGCCTGTTTGTGTATGTACACCTATGCGCACGCACCCTCTTGCAGGAGTAAATTTTACTTTGTCAAGGTAATTAATTTAGTCTCACCGAGTGTCTTTTATGCGACATCGGGATTCATTTCTAACATGGGTTAATGTGCCAGACTGCAAAGCCGTTTGAACTGCAAGGTCGGTGGTTCAAGCTCACCAGCTGCTCCTCGGAAAAACTGTACAGGGTCGCTATGGGTCAGAACCAACTCGACGGCACTTAACAACAACAATGTGATGACTGGAACTTGGTTGCCTTAGCAGGGCCAGAGCGAATGATTTCATGGATCTTATACGGGCCACACGTCCCCCAGCCCTGATGTACATGCAGGTCCCTGTCATTGCAGGACTGTGTGTATAAGAATGTTTACGTCTGCTGCTGTCAATTCGTGCTCTCCTCCCCACATCTCCCCCCATCTTGCTAATCTCCCTCAGATTGTATACTGCCTTAGCTCACATTTCTCAATAACTAAGAAACTGTCTTTAAGCTGATACACTACAAAACAGAATTACTATTGACCTAAACTTGTCAAAATAAATTTACTTTTATTAGTGAAGAATACTTAATTTATGTAAATGTTTATTCATCAATTTGAATATATATTCAAACCAATTACAATAAAGATCCTTTTAGGGATAATATAAACTGTTGTTGTTGTTGTTGTTGTTGTTGTTGTTGTTAGGTGCCATTGAGTTGGTACCAACTCACAGTGACCCTATGCACAAAAGAACGAAACACTGCCCGGTCCTGGGCCAGCCTCACAACTGTTGCCATGCTTGAGCCCATTGATGCTGCCACTTTGGGGAATATTATCTGCAGATAGGAAGATATTACATATATATACATACATATATCTCAAATATGTACCATCCATATGAAGTCCTGATGTGGTGTTGTATGATAAGTGCTGAACTACAAAGGCGGTTTGAACTGCAAGGTCAGTGGTTCAAAATCACCAGCCACTCCTTAGAAACCCTACCTACACAGGGTCGCTATGAGTCAGCTGACAGCACTTAACAACAACATATAAATACAGATACATATAAGGGAGCTTCAGCATGTCAGGGAAGCTTTGCAGAACTTGACCATGGTCTCTGATAAATCTGTGACTCCAGATGTTTCCTGGGCGCTCAGAGATCTAGGGAAGTGTCCATCTATAGCAGTGTTACAGTGCCATCTACATCTCCATGTATATGTGGGGGAATACATGCACACACATGGGTATGTACATGTGTGTGCACCACATGTATGCACACATGTGTGAGTGTGCACTGTGTGTGCACATGAATGTGAGGCTTGTAGACATTGACTCACACACATGCATGCGATCACATGTGCACAACTATGTGCATTGCAAGCATCGTGCACAGCATAGATACATGCATATACATGTGTGCGATGTGTGTACACATGCATGCACACAAACTGCACCCATACACATATGTACACATGCAGAATGCCGTCGTGTGTGCATGTATACACATGATGTGTTTACATGTGCTCGCATGTATATAGCCATGCACTCACATGTGCGCTGGCATGGGTGTGGGCACATGTGTGCAATGTGTGTATGTGCATGGAGCTATGGATGGCATACACATCTATATACACAGGTACACACACAGAGCCCTGAGCCATTCTGCAGAAAACATGTAGGGGTGCCCCGAGGGCTTGGCTAAAGAGAGGGGGTGGCTTGCTGAGGTGGGCGAGCTGATGGGGGGGGACCGCGCAGGGTAAGACAGGCATCAGCACTCGGATTCCAAACCTGACACTCCAGGCCCCAGCGCCCCTGAGGACCTGGGCTAGCTGCACCCCCACTTTTAAATGTCCCGGAAACCTCCAGGAAGAGAGGGAGGGGCTGCCCCAGCGGACTCCAGCCCTATGGTGAGAAATGCCCCCAGACAGTTCCTGCATCCCTTCCCTCTCCCTACCCAACCCTCCAGGGGAGCCCACCCCCTCTCAGGACCTCGGTTCCCACTTCCGTAGACGTTCACGTCTACATCACATGCCCAGCTGGGAGGAAGGAGGGTCAAGAGTTCTGTCTGCTCAGAAGTGGGCGTTCCGGAAGGACCCTGGACCTTGGGCTGCCTCCCATCCCGTGCCCCTGTGAAGTCCTGGCATCTGCTCTCCCGGACCCGCATTGTCCTGAGGGAGAAGCCCCCGCCCCCCGCTCTGCCCGGCACGTTGTCCCTCCGGAGTCCCTGGCTGCACCACCACCACCACCCCCCGCCACCCCCTTCCCTCTGCTCTCGGTCCAGGGTCTCAGGCTTGATGGCTCAGACAAACCGTCACCCGACTGGTCGGCGGCGCGCCAGAGGCTGGTGGTCGACGGGGGTGGTGTGCCCAGGGTCGGGGTGCCCGGGGCACGTGCGGCCTTACCGGCGGGGTCGTCCACGGACTCGCCCCCAGGCGCGGCAGCGGCGAGGACCAGCAGGAACAGCAGCTGCGGCAGCGGGGGCCGCATGGTGGGCGCAGGCGGGGCGGCACGGTGATGTGGCACTGGGGCGGCGGGGCTGCGCGGTTCCCGCCTGGTAGGGGGGCCCCGGCGGACGCGGAGTCGGGTTACAGCGGCTGCTCCCGAAACCGGAGCTCAGCGAGGAAGGGGACAGATAACCCGCAGCTCGCAGAGCGCACGGTGTCCGCCCCCAGCCCGGCCCCTTCCCTCCAGGGGGTAGCTCGCCCCCCTCCCGCCCCATCCGGGCCTGCCCCACTCCATGGAGGTGTCCGGCCCCTAGCCAAGCCCGGCCCCCTCCGATGGGGTGTGCCATCCCTCCCCCACCCCTGTACCCCACCGCAGCCCAGCCTCCTCCATGGAGGGTGTCCCGCCCCCTCCAAGTAGATACCTCGCCCCCAGTCCAACCCTGCCTCCTCCGAGAGGGCCCCGCCCCTGGGGAGGACGGTGTAGGGGAGTCTCCCAACTGGGGCTTCGCGGAGGGAAAACGGGGGCTCCTGGTGCCCTTGGCCCCGCCCACCTGTCCGAACTCAACTGGCTTTTGGTTTGCAGGTCAGCAGGGCCCAGCCGGGGGCTGTAAGTATGTTAATGAGACCCGGTGTCCCCTCTCTTCAGGCCCTCCCCTAGGCCAGGGAGCAAAGCTGGTCCTGGCCCTAGAGGCTCCTATTGCAGACCCCACCTGCCTGGGGGAGAAGGCTGAGCTCGGGATCCTGGCCAGCAACCACCGCCCCCACTTGGGCTGGTGCCTGCATCACCCAGAGCCACCGGGGCAGGTGGGAGTGGGGAGACCCAGGAGCCTGGGCCAAAGGGTCAGGCAAGACAGCACCGATCCTCAGCAAAAGACTGCCCAGAGCCCAGCCCTGCCAAGGGTCACTCCACCTCCCCCCACAGAGCTGGACATCTGCTTGTGTGCACATCTGCATGTTCACCTGTGTGCACCTGCACTGGGGACAGCTCCATGGAACACCTGGGTCCACAGACAAGTAGGGGGAGTCAGCCCAGGTCCCTTCCCCCCGGGGACCTCTGCTTTCTCAGCCCACAGGACAGGGTGGGACAGTCTCGGTATCCCGCAGAGGCCCAGTCCTTGCAGCTAGGTAGCTGAGCTGGAAGGCTGGACTAGCCACTTGGTCTTCAGGCTCGGACCACAGCACGTGGTGTGAAGCAGGTTCCCTGAGCCACCTGGTACCAAGGGCACCAAGCACTCTGAGTCACACCTTCCCACCGCCCTTGGCCCCCAGCCCCCTACACCTCACTGGAGACTGCAGTGTCCTGCTCCACCGGCCCAGGACCAGGTTCCTGTAAGTAAGTTCCCTTCCCTGGTTTTTGGGTCCAATTCACTCATTTTACTCCAGCCAGTGGGTACATTCTCAGGGGCCATGTCCCTTTCTCCTGACCTGCTGCCCACCCCCATCAGGCAGGTGAGCTCTCAGGGTCTCTCCCATGGAGACCAGTTCCATGCATGACCCCTCTGAGGCCTCTGCTGGGGGGTTTTGAGTAGACCATGAATAATGACACATCTCGATCTCAAAGGCATTCTAGACTGATGAAATAGTGTTGGCTGTTCTCTGAGACCCCATGAGCAGACCCCAGCTAAGCATCCCCTCAATCAGGTTCCCATCTCCACCAATAGATCAGAAGACAAAACCTCTCATCCAATCCCCTTCTACGTCACAGGACTGGGAGCCCCCTACCTCCACCACCCTTCCCTCCTTACACATCGGGGAAATTCACCTGCCTGGTGATGAAACCACTTCATTTAGCCTTGATTGAAGGCAGAATTTCCCCCTTTTTTCAGAGAAATGCAGGAAGCTTAGGAAGAAAACTCTTTATGGGCCATCCCAGGATGTAGCACCATTTTGCAAAAGCTTAAGAGCCCAGGGACAATCTTTTTTCTAATTAAAAAGAGACCATCACAAGTCTAAAGCAAAGGGACAACAACAGCTGACAGAGGAAGTAGAAAGAATGTTCTAGAATGCCTGGTGTGCACAACACTCCCCCAGAGGGCATGTGTGCCCAGGTGGGGGCTTCAAGGAAACAGCCTGAAGCCACATTTTCCCCCAGGACAGGGCACACGTATTTCCTTGAACGGGTTTCAGACTGGAGCATCAGATTCCAGCGTGGCAGGGATGTGGAAATACAGTGCAGTGGTCCAGCTGGTTGGGGTGTTTCTGCCACCCCCAGAAGGAGGGAGGGCTCAGCACACCAGTCACAGCCTGAACTCAGGAGTTTAAGACCAAGAGACCAACCCAAGCTGCCTCCCTAGGAAGTCTCCTCCTGGGGACTCTAGGGCCAAAGGAAGCGAATCCTTACAGCAGACCTCATACTTGGAATTCCCAGGCTGGGATGTGTTGATTGAGTTGGCTGGATTCTTGTCTTTAATTTCCAACTGTTTTTAACTACTTCCCGACCACATGTATGTCCCTAGGTGGTATGTAGTTTGCCCTTGACAACTGAGGTTTGGCAGTTCACACCCACCCAGCAGTAACACTGAAGAAAGTCCTGGCAATCTGTTTCCATGAAGATTACATCCAAGAAAGTCGCAGAGCTACTCTGTGACACACAGGAATCATCTGGACAGCAAGGGGTTTGGTTGGGGGCGTTTTGACCACATGCTCACAGTTGCAGTTATTACTAAGGATAAGTTCTTGGACTTGACTTGTACTTTATAATTTACAATGCTTTCAAACACATCAGGATGGAGGGAGGACTTAAGAGAGTTGGCCCCAAACTGCCCTTTTATTTGAAAGGAATTTGTCACCCTGAATCTGCCAGGCTCTGAGTTGTCATGAAGGAGCAATCTGACCAGCAGGAACTGAGAGCTGCAAGCAGGGACTTTGAAGAATAGTGGATCTCGAGGGGGGTCTTCGGAGCCCTCCCTGTGTCCTGTGCCCCCAGGACACAGCCCACCCTTCACTCTGCAGGAGAAGATCCTGTGCCAGGAGTAGAAACCAGTTCATGGCTCGCCTAGGAGAGAGTTGTGCCACACACACACACACACACACACACACACACACACACTCACTTTAGTGTCTAGTAGGTTCAAACTACCAACCTTTCTGCTAGCAGCCTAGTGCACCCCAAAGAGCTCCTGTGCTCATCCACTAACATAACTGGTAGTTTAAACTCACCCAGAAATGCTGAAAACCCCAAGACCACAGCCCCTAGGCACCCTTCAAACCTGGAGCTGAATTCACACTTGTGGCTCCACCTTCGGAAGGAAATGTTCTCTGGTCTTGTGACATCTCCATGACTCCTGGGCAGTTTGAGTTCATCCTGTGGCTGTTGTGTCAGCCCACCTCGTGAAGGGTCTCTCTGGATTGTTGTTGTGACCATTGCATCAATCCATCTCGTGGGGGTCTCGCTTGCTTTCGCTGACCCGTCATGATGTCCTTTTCTAAGGGCTGATCTGTCCTCACGTCGTGTGCAAAGTGAGGTACCTGAAGCATTCAAACTCATGCAGCTATCTCTCATTCTACATCCTCCTCTGAATCTGGGTTGAATTTCTGGCAGTCCCCTGTTGGGGTGCTGCTGCAATTGTTTGTGAATAATCTCCAGAAAAATTTTACTTGCATGTGAACAATAATATTTTTCATGGTTTCTACTTTCCATTGGGTCACCTCTCTTTGGAATGGGCACAAATATGGGATCTTTTCCAAGAGATTGGCCAGGTACTTGTCTTCCAAATTTCTTGGCGTCAGTAAGGAAGCGCCTCCAGTGCTGAATCAGTTTGTTGAAAGATTTCCATTTATAGTCAATTGATTCCTAGAGTCTTATTTTTCACCAGTGTCTTCCATGCTGCTTAGATGTCTTACGATAATGCCATCAGCTCTTGATCATACCTCATGAAATGGTTGAACAACGACCATTTCTTTTTGGTGCAGTGACTCTGTGTATTCCTTCCATCTTCTTTTGATGCTTTCTGCATCATTCAATATTTTCCCAAGGGTGGTTATGATATTTATGTGCCATGGAGTCAGTTCCCACTCATAGCGACCCTGTATAAGGTTTCCAAGGCTGTAAATCTTTATGGGAATAGAAAGCCTCATCTTTCTCCTCCAGAACCACTGGTACCTTTGAAGTACTGACCTTCATTCAGGTTAGCAGCCCAACTCATAACT